TCCTCAAACAGGTGAGACAAGCAATAGAGAAGAGGGACCTCGTCTATCTCCTTCCTCACACAGGTGAGACAAGCAGTAGAAAAGAGGGACCTCGTCTATCTCCTTCCTCACACAGGTGAGACAAGCAATAGAGAAGAGGGACCTTGTCTATCCCATTCCTCAAACAGGTGAGACAAGCAATAGAGAAGAGGGACCTCGTCTATCTCCTTCCTCACACAGGTGAGACAAGTAGTAGAAAAGAGGGACCTCGTCTATCTCCTTCCTCACACAGGTGAGACAAGCAATAGAGAAGAGGGACCTTGCTATCTCCTTCCCAACACAGGTGAGTCACGCAATAGAGACCACAGTCTTGCCACATGCCAAGATTGTTTTTGCCCCACTGCTACGGAAGTCTTAAATACACTGTCTAGGCTGTTATTAGGCAGGTTTTCTGTTCAAAGATGTTGCCACACTTCCTTTAAATAATACATGAGGGAAAAAACAGAATTTGGAAGTGCATTCTGGCTAGGTTAAAGAAAAAAGTGCTCTCAATTAAATATTTTTTGTGTTAAGATGCGTTCCCAAACATAACACAGTCTAACACAGATAAGATTCCACTGGCACACCAATGCAGTATTCTTACATGTCAGGGATGAATAAAAAACTTGAACAACACTAGGAGCGCTGACTAAACACAATTATTGACTGAACCGAACTCATTTCAGCCAACATCGGAGTTATCGTACATCTAAGTATTTCAAATGATCTGTTACATGGCTACACAGCTTACCAATCAGAGTCAACACAAGACTATTGTGTCCTGCTTTAGGAGTTGGTTACAGTTTATTCCAATAAAAGTAAAATAAACGAAGTGTGTGCATATAATAAAAACAATTCTTGACTTAGTACACATTTGAAAATCAAAATATTCAATTTAACACTCAATTACCTAAGTCACAGAGCCAAGTGGGGACACCCTGACCCCCGCTTTAGCTGTTGGACAGCTGGGGACACCCTGACCCTGCTTTAGCTGTTGGACAGCTGGGGACACCCTGACCCTGCTTTAGCTGATGGACAGCTGGGGACACCCTGACCCCGCTTTAGCTGTTGGACAGCTGGGGACACCCTGACCCCACTTTAGCTGTTGGACAGCTGGGGACACCCTGACCCCGCTTTAGCTGATGGATAGCTGGGGACACCCTGACCCCGCTTTAGCTGTTGGACAGCTGGGGACACCCTGACTCCGCTTTAGCTGATGGACAGCTGGGGACACCCTGACCCCGCTTTAGCTGATGGATAGCTGGGGACACCCTGACCCCGCTTTAGCTGACGGACAGCTGGGGACACCCTGACCCCCGCTTTAGCTGATGGATAGCTGGGGACACCCTGACCCCGCTTTAGCTGACGGACAGCTGGGGACACCCTGACCCCGCTTTAGCTGATGGATAGCTGGGGACACCCTGACCCCGCTTTAGCTGTTGGACAGCTGGGGACACCCTGACTCCGCTTTAGCTGATGGACAGCTGGGGACACCCTGACCCCGCTTTAGCTGATGGATAGCTGGGGACACCCTGACCCCGCTTTAGCTGACGGACAGCTGGGGACACCCTGACCCCGCTTTAGCTGATGGATAGCTGGGGACACCCTGACCCCCGCTTTAGCTGATGGATAGCTGGAGACACCCTGACCCTGCTTTAGCTGATGGATAGCTGGAGACACCCTGACCCCCGCTTTAGCTGATGGATAGCTGGGGACACCCTGACCCTGCTTTAGCTGATGGATAGCTGGAGACACCCTGACCCCGCTTTAGCTGGATGGATAGCTGGAGACACCCTGACCCTGCTTTAGCTGATGGATAGCTGGGGACACCCTGACCCTGCTTTAGCTGATGGATAGCTGGAGACACCCTGACCCCGCTTTAGCTGGATGGATAGCTGGGGACACCCTGACCCCCGCTTTAGCTGGATGGATAGCTGGGGACACCCTGACCCCGCTTTAGCTGGATGGATAGCTGGGGACACCCTGACTCCGCTTTAGCTGATGGATAGCTGGGGACACCCTGACTCCGCTTTAGCTGATGGATAGCTGGGGACACCCTGACTCCGCTTTAGCTGATGGATAGCTGGGGACAACCTTATGAGGAATCCCCACAGGACATAAGGAAGTTTGTCGGATATTGTTCATCAAATATAAAACCTGATCTCTCGGAGATATACATGTTGAAGATCAAAATAATACATAATGTCACCGACATTTAACTCATTGTGAGATTGTAACAACTTGAAAAAGTTGATAGAACATCATATTTTTTACATCTTCCCAGGAAATAGACATTAATGGACAAACATGTGAGATGTAATCTAAATACCACAAATGCACATAAAAACAATGCAGGGAAGTAGAGTGGAGACAGTTTGCGAGGAAATTGTTTTCAGACTTTTGATGAAGAAGGAAATCCTTCGCATCCCATCACTGCAGTGTGCTGTCACTAATTTGCCTGATTAAACATGGTATATATCTGTGAATGTGGATCATTATCCTGTGATCACACGCTATGGCTGACAAACACCACACGTAATGGAGAATATTGACTAGATTTGTTTTTTGCATGAATCAAAAACATTGCTACATTAAACACAGACTATGCATCAAAGGCTCCCTGGCGGGGAGATTACTGCGGGGTCATGCCTTCTTATAGGTTGAGAACCAAGATCACAGTCATCTGGGGAGACAAATGTACCTCTATGTGAAAGCTGAGCACAGCTCACTAGGAAGGACCACGTTGTAGTTAGCAGGACCTTTGTGAGGTAGATCGATGCAGATTGGTCTCCATCTCCATCTTGGGGAGAACTTAAGATCACTGCACCAAGAGAATTGCCTTCCAACAAATTTCACATGCTGAACTTAAAACATAGTCTGCTCCCACACACTTCACATAGGGCATAGTCTGCTCCCACAAACTCCACATACTTCACATAGGGCGTAGTCAGCTCCCGCAAACTCCACACACTTCACATAGGGCATAGTCTGCTCTCACAAACTCCACACACTTCACATAGAGCATAGTCTGCTCCCACACACTTCACATAGGGCATAGTCTGCTCTCACAAACTCCACACACTTCACATAGGGCATAGTCTGCTCCCACAAACTCCACACACTTCACATAGGGCAATAGTCTGCTCTCACACACTTCACATAGGGCATAGTCTGCTCTCACAAACTCCACACACTTCACATAGGGCATAGTCTGCTCTCACACACTTCACATAGGGCATAGTCTGCTCTCACAAACTCCACACACTTCACATAGGGCATAGTCTGCTCTCACAAACTCCACACACTTCACATAGGGCATAGTCTGCTCTCACACACTTCACATAGGGCGTAGTCTGCTCTCACAAACTCCACACACTTCACATAGGGCATAGCCTGCTCCCACAAACTCCACACACTTCACATAGGGCATAGTCTGCTCCCACAAACTCCACACACTTCACATAGGGCATAGCCTGCTCCCACACACTTCACACACTTCACATAGGGCATAGTCTGCTCCCACAAACTCCACACACTTCACATAGGGCAATAGTCTGCTCTCACACACTTCACATAGGGCGTAGTCTGCTCTCACAAACTCCACACACTTCACATAGGGCATAGTCTGCTCCCACACACTTCACATAGGGCATAGTCTGCTCCCACACACTTCACATAGGGCATAGTCTGCTCTCACAAACTCCACACACTTCACATAGAGCATAGTCTGCTCTCACACACTTCACATAGGGCGTAGTCTGCTCCCACACACTTTACATAGGGCATAGTCTGCTCCCAAACATTTTACATAGGGCATAGTCTGCTCTCACAAACTCCACACACTTCACATAGGGCATAGTCTGCTCCCACACACTTCACATAGGGCATAGTCTGCTCTCACAAACTCCACACACTTCACATAGAGCATAGTCTGCTCTCACACACTTCACATAGGGCGTAGTCTGCTCCCACACACTTTACATAGGGCATAGTCTGCTCCCAAACATTTTACATAGGGCATAGTCTGCTCTCACAAACTCCACACACTTCACATAGAGCATAGTCTGCTCTCACACACTTCACATAGGGCGTAGTCTGCTCCCACACACTTTACATAGGGCATAGTCTGCTCCCAAACATTTTACATAGGGCATAGTCTGTTCTCACAAACTCCACACACTTCACATAGAACATAGTCTGCTCTCACACACTTCACATAGGGCGTAGTCTGCTCCCACACACTTTACATAGGGCATAGTCTGCTCCCAAACATTTTACATTGGGCATAGTCTGCTCTCACAAACTCCACACACTTCACATAGAGCATAGTCTGCTCTCACACACTTCACATAGGGCGTAGTCTGCTCCCACACACTTTACATAGGGCATAGTCTGCTCCCACACACTTCAAATAGGGCATAGTCTGCTCCCACGCACTTCACATAGGGCATAGTCTGCTCTCACAAACTCCACATAGGGCATAGTCTGCTCTCACAAACTCCACATAGGGCGTAGTCTGCTCTCACAAACTCCACACACTTCACATAGGGCATAGTCTGCTCTCACAAACTCCACATAGGGCGTAGTCTGCTCTCACAAACTCCACATACTGCACATAGAGGATAGTCTGCTCCCACAAACTCCACACACTTCACATAGGGCATAGTCTGCTCCCACATACTTCACATAGGGCATAGTCTGCTCCCACACACTTCACATAGGGCATAGTCTGCTCCCACACATTTCACATAGGGCGTAGTCTGCTCTCACAAACTCCACACACTTCACATAGGGCGTAGTCTGCTCTCACAAACTCCACACACTTCACATAGGGCATAGTCTGCTCCTACAAATTCCACACACTTCACATAGAGCATAGTCTGCTCCCACATACTGCACATCAGACATCTGCTGGGGTTCTCTGTTAAACGTTTCGGAAGCTGCTTTCAGACAGCATGTGATGCAGTTGTTGGTGTACTTACCTGCCTTCAGACAGTAGTTCATGCAGTTCTGGGGGGTGTTATCATTCAACTCCTTGTACGTGCCTGTCAGGTCTCGGTCGTTCAGGTTGTCCTTGAAACACCCGAAGTAGGTTCCAGTATCATTCCCTGTAAAACAAAATCAGACATCCGGTACTACCTGAATACTTTCATAATTTGCTCAGAGAGAAAACCATTAATCTCACATGGAAGTTCAGCTGTGACAGAGGCGGTCGGGTAGCCTAGTGGTAAAAGTGTTTGTTGGTCATACCGAAGACCCAGGTTCGATTCCCGACATGGGTACGCGGTGTGAAGCCCATGGTGGCAAAACCATACTCACTCAGTCCGTTGTGACATGGGTACCAGGCAGATTTGTGGTCGACATAACAAAGAGCTGTGAAGTGAGCTGTACACTGATGCTTACTGACATCCCATGTTCATAGTCCATCAGTTCGTTACGTATTCTCCTTGGTTCACTGACCAAATAGGATTATATAATCCATACAGTCAATGTGCCTTATCATGCCTTGTATCTGGACTTGCCATGGCATGATCCGAACAGCAATTTCTTTCATACGAATTACATCTCAACTCTGAATAATGCAAAAGACGGTCGGAATGACTTAAACCTTAACCTTATTTGCCACCCAGCTAAATTAAATTTCCTGAGAACCTGCTCCAACAGCCATAGTTAATCTAATAAAACAATTACCTGGAAATAACAGTAATTGATTGCAATAGAAACATCGTGTGTGATTTTGGTAGTGCTGTTGGTCCCTACAGTGAGAGGGACACCAGGAAGCTGACAGACCAGTTACAACCAATGAGAACCTGGTGTTCCGGCAGACATTGTGCCCAGCATCCACTCACTACAGATGGCATGCTTAATTGATACGATAAATCTAGAAAAATACTCCCCTGAGAAGGGTTGGATTTGTTGCCTCTACAGCCAGTGTATGCAAGAGCTTCACGCTCTGCACTATGGTATCTTCATTTTACCTGATTCCTGTCTGCCAGAGACACCTCGATAGCTCAGCATTTGAAATAGCTCCAATATATCAATCAGTAAAACTCTCGTATACGGTCGGGCGACAAAGAGTACCATGTTCTAATACAAAAGGCACAGGTACTTTGACAACAGATTAACCCCTATACTGTCACGACAACTGATTATAACCTGTTGTTACTATGGTTACTGATTATCTCCTACAACTGTATTGACAACTAACTATAACCAGGTGTTACCATGGCAACGGATTATCTCCTACTACTGTCATGTCAACTGAATATAATCTGTTGTTACCATGGCAACAGATTATCACCTAAAATTACCATGACAACTGACTATCATGGGGGTGGGGGGATGTAGATTTAAAGCTGACCACACAAAAAACACTGGGAGCACTGCATGTACTGGGTGAGAACTCAACATATCCTTCCTTCTGAAGATTCAGCATGTGATGAGAGTGTGACGGAGGGGCCCATCTGTTGCTGGTGAGGAGCTGCTTGATCTCACAAGTGGCTGACCTTCCTGAAGACAACTCCTTCAGCAAACACCAGTTGTGAGGGAATAATGCTGAGACAGGCTCACAGGAAAGGGCATCCTAGATCAACAAGTCTGTCCAGCTTTGGAACATCACAATGGATGATGCTTCCGTACAGATATCTACCAGATGGTGTTGCTGTTCACCAAGGAATGGCCTGTTATTGTGGGAATCAGAGCTGTCATTAGGAACTCTAACATCATTTCAATGATTTACATTCAGATTGTTCAAACTGGTCGAAAATAATAAATCTTCAAAATAGAAATATCCATTTTTCAACAATTAGTTCAGATCTGACCCCAAGTTTTGCAACAACTACAAAGTGCTAAGTTTAATGGAAAATATGTTTTCCTGAACATTTTTAATTCATCCTTTTGTGAAAACTATTATATTAAGAACCTATTTAGGAACTCAAAATCAAACTAACCCTGACAAATTGTTTTCTTTATTTTGATATTACTTTAGTGTTGGCCATATATTTTTACCAAATCTGTGAAACAAGAAGTTAAGCAGTTCTGGCCTTGCGGTGGTCCCTGGGATGAGGGGTCACACCAATCACTTTACCACTGTAATGAAGGAGACGGTGTGTCTGATCAACTGAAAAAACTAATTTATGAAATTCTATTCATGTTTGAAAGAGAAATTGAGTAGTCAGGAAAAGAGTTCTTCACAATTTGCCTCAACTTCTTGAATCACGCGATGCTGATTCAACTGAATTAATTGTGTCAGATCACAAAGACAGTGAATTGCGTAAAACATGCCTGTTGTTTCCAGTCGTCAGCTGGAAAGACTGTCAGCTTCAAGAAGCAAAACACGACACAGAAACGACTTCCACAGACACTGGGGCAACGTCTCTAGATGAGTTGGATGGAGTAGCTAAACCAGGCAATTGATTACTGCTTGTACAGTAAACATAAGTTGCCCAGTCAAAACATGGGGCGGGCTCACTCCCATTGCTATCTGTTTATCTCCACATCATTCAACAGAAATGCTGCTTCCAAAATAAACTAGAAGCTCGGAAACAGCAGGAAGGAGGCTTGAAATGAGTTTCTCAAATTAGCCGTCACTTTGCCATCTCATAAAACCATAGTTGTATTCCAGCGGATGAAGAGGAAGCTAAGTGGAGGAGTATTTCACTGATGTCAGTGCAGGGTCTCACACAGGACCTGGGCTGTTGTGGTGGGGTCTCACACAGGACCTGGGCTGTTGTGGTGGGGTCTCACACAGGACCTGGGCTGTTGTGGTGGGGTCTCACACAGGACCTGGGCTGTTGTGGTGGGGTCTCACACAGGACCTGGGCTGTTGTGGTGGGGTCTCACACAGGACCTGGGCTGTTGTGGTGGGGTCTCACACAGGACCTGGGCTGTTGTGGTGGGGTCTCACACAGGACCTGGGCTGTTGTGGTGGGGTCTCACACAGGACCTGGGCTGTTGTGGTGGGGTCTCACACAGGACCTGAGCTGTTGTGGTGGGGTCTCCCACAGGACATGGGCTGATGTGGTGGGGTCTCACACAGGAACGGAGCTGTTGTGGTGGGGTCTCACACAGGACCTGGGCTGTTGTGGTGGGGTCTCACACAGGACCTGGGCTGATGTGGTGGGGTCTCACAAACGACCTGAGCTGTTGTGGTTATCAGCAGGACCTGGGCTGATGTGGTAGGGTCTCACACAGGACCGTGGCTGTTGTGGCGGCGTCTCACACAGGACCAGGGCTGTTGTGGTAGGGTCTCACACAGGACCTGGGCTGATGTGGTGGGGTCTCACACAGGACCTGGGCTGATGTGGTGGGGTCACACAGGACCTGGGCTGATGTGGTGGGGTCTCACACAGGACCTGGGCTGATGTGGTGGGGTCACACAGGACCTGGGCTGTTGTGGACGTGTGTCAATACTCCAGTAGCCATTACTCAGTGACACTGGGGCTGTTTCCTAAAGGATCTCTTCTCACTTCACACCTGTCCCGACCCACAGCATGCATTCCACTCTACAGCTGCTGAAGCACGGCATGCCTTCCACTCTACAGCTGCTGATCAGCTCGGCATGCCTTCCTCTCTACAGCTGCTGATCAGCTCAGCATGCCTTCCACTCTACAGCTGCTGATCAGCACGGCATGCCTTCAACTCTACAGCTGCTGATCAGCTCGGCATGCCTTCCACTCTACAGCTGCTGATCAGCTCGGCATGCCTTCCACTCTACAGCTGCTGATCAGCACGGCATGCCTTCAACTCTACAGCTGCTGATCAGCTCGGCATGCCTTCCACTCTACAGCTGCTGATCAGCTCGGCATGCCTTCCACTCTACAGCTGCTGATCAGCACGGCATGCCTTCCACTCTACAGCTGCTGAAGCACGGCATGCCTTCCGCTCTACAGCTGCTGATCAGCTCGGCATGCCTTCCTCTCTACAGCTGCTGATCAGCTCGGCATGCCTTCCACTCTACAGCTGCTGATCAGCACGGCATGCCTTCAACTCTACAGCTGCTGATCAGCTCGGCATGCCTTCCACTCTACAGCTGCTGATCAGCTCGGCATGCCTTCCACTCTACAGCTGCTGATCAGCACGGCATGCCTTCCACTCTACAGCTGCTGATCAGCTCGGCATTCCTTCCACTCTAGTTACTTCTTCCAGACAGAATCATCAAAAACTTACAAAAAAACATTGTTTCAATTTATGCTGTTAGGTGGAACGGAGAATAGCAACGATGTTACAAATAAAAATCCTGAAGAGAAGCATTTCTGTTGAGAGAAAGGCAGACTTGCAGAAGTCTCTCAGGCAATAATTATTAGTTTAAATCATAATTTTTACATTATGTAAATAATAAGAACAAGTTGCCTCTATAAGAGACTGGAGACCTCAGACTTGCCTATTAGGAGAATAGAATTACTACACATCCATGAACCTATCTTTCAGTACATGATACATGTTTATAATAATAATGTGATTACACGGCCACGCCCCTGGCCACGCCCATGCACTGGCGGATACAAGATCAGTCTAATGAAGTCTCAAAGCAAAATGATGCACTCTCCTTCACATTTAGGGACCTTTGAAGATCCAGGTTACAATAGGTCTTCAGCAACCCATGCTTGGGGTAAAAGGTGACTATACTTGTTGTAAGAGGCGACTAACGGGATTTGGTGGTCTTGCTGAATTGGTTGATGTATGTCATCGTATCCCAATTGTGTAGATCGATGCTCATGATGTCAATCACTGGAATGTCTGGTCCTGACTTTATTATTTACAGATCGTCATCATATAGCTCAGTGAGGCATTAAAGAACAAAGAAAGAAACAAACAAACACATTAAGTGTTGTTTCAGTTTTCACGCTCGTTCTACTTCAGAATATGTAATAGCTTACATACCATAACACAACTAATATGGCTTCAATGTTCATCCCAGGGCTAGACATAACAGAAACAAACTGCAAAAAATTCCAGAAGAATTTTTCTGTCTAAGATCATGTAATAGGAATGACAGTCTCTGCCTGTATGAGCATTCCATGTGTACATACACAAGTAGGTGGCAGAATACAGTATGTCATTGCTGAGACACAAGGCAGAATACTGTACATCACTGCTGAGACACATG